AGGAGGGAAGAAACACGAGCACGCCCTTCGGCACCTCTTGACATACATGTAGCAAAAGATAGCCAATTTCATCTTGGAACTGAAAAGATTCCGTGAATTTAAAAGTAGCCCTCAATGGATACCCGTTTGGACCCTGAAAATGGACAACCAATTAAAAATTTAGGAGAAGAGAAAAAGTATTAAATTAGCATACACTACAGTATCACTAATGAATAAAACTTAAAACGCATAGGTACATCTGTCGACAGTATGACAAAGACGTTCATCAAACTTATTATAAATACAGACTGTTGTTTTAACAAAACTTTCCAACAGCTTACAGCAGCACTGACTTCATAGCACAGAAATTATTGAATGGCAGCAATGACATGGAATTATGCCTAATTATTTATTGGAAATTGACACAGAAAATACGTGTGACCATATGACAAATTCATGAATAATAAATGTATCCATTCTCTGCACAATCATCCTTAGTAGAGCTGGAGATGAAAGAAAAAAAGCTGGCTTTTTTACCTGACATCTGTGCCGTTCATAACAGTTCTTGATGTCTGACCCTGACCAGCTTTGTGATCGAAAGGAAAGCAGAACTTACACTGGTTTTTAGTACAAGCAATTTCTGAGCATACTCTGGGACAAGTTTTGTATGAGTAACGGTTTGAGTCTAGCCGTCGAAACTCACAGTCAGAAAATTCCAGGTCTGAATCCCAGCATAGTCGTTCGTATTTCATCTTTCATGTTAGAAAAACGAGTAGCACAGCGATGAAGGAAGCAGGAGAGTTCGAGCAATACTTTATGCAACTGTAGACATTGTTATCATAAACGAAGTAACGCTGACTGGTGGCGCAGCAACATAAGATCTAAACTCAAAGATGCATTCATGCACAGGAACTGCAACAAAAAAGACGTGATACAGAAGAAAAGCAAGGAAGGTTATAGTTGAGTCCACGAGAAAGCAGTAACCCAAACTTACTGCTGACCCCAGTTGCCAACTGGTGCCTGAGACGGTCTCCCACGCACGATTGACCGAACAGGAAAAATCAGGCCAAGAGCATTACACTGGCGCATAACTATGGTTTCGTTTGTTACAAATCATACTGCTCTGTCCCTCGCACGCATAATAAACAGTCTGTTGAAACTTTAAGCACAAGAATCCGTTTAAAAGCATGATAAAGTTCCGCTTGTGATGCGCATGCGACAAACAAATAGTTAACCGTGTCGCTGTACCCGCTAATTTATTACGACGACAAACGCGGTCAGTGTAAAGCACACAAAGCACGCTAGACAACCAATGCAAAATCACAGCATTTACTGCATCGTAGAAGGAGCAATTCCTCTCCACAAACATATATGCCTCAGCCTCCTTCCTCAATATTGCACGATGGCTTCCTGTCCTTCCCACATGTGAAGCAAGATGTAAAATAGACTTGATCCATATGACCATCGTTCTGCTTCCTGTCTGCTTTCCATGTAATTTTGAGAAGAGATACCAATGTATGAGTCTCTTCTTTAGCCTCTTTACCACCTTTGCAAATCATCGGCTGCATGTGTAACCATATAATTTG